CTGTCAGCACATATCTTTGATTACTTATGGGTATCTTACTGTCGTAGACAATCCGGTTGGCGTTGTGGAAGTAGATCCCATGATCACTGTCAGGGAAGACGTGGACATCGTAATTCTCGACACCCGCCAAGTCCAGTCTGTCCAGAAGGGTAAGGGTGTTCTGCATGTGAACATTGTCGTCCGCAATCCCGTGCATGACCAAGAATCTCACATTCTGGTGTAAAGCGGTCATGTTGCTGATGGTCGAATTATCGTACCCACCTGGGTTGTGTTGAGGTGTGTGCATGTATCGTTCGGTGTAGATCGAGTCATAGAATCGCCAATCTGTGACAGGCGCAACAGCCATTCCATACGAGAAAGTCTGTCCAGCATCCTGCTCGAGAGTCTTCAAAGTCATGAATCCACCGTACGACCAGCCCCAAATAGCCATGCGCGAAGCATCGACGTACTTTTTCTTCGCCCAGATTTTGGCAGTCTCAATTTGATCGCGAGCTTCGTAGTATCCAAGATTACCGCGAATAATGGTACGGGCCTTTCGTCCGATGAATCCCGTACCCCGGCCATCGACAGTGACGACAATGTAACCCAGATTGGCAGCCACATATGCTTGAAAGTCAACACTGAAAGTTTTGGTCACAGTCTGAGATCCAGGGCCTCCATAGAGATAGAAGAGCACGGGATACTTCTTCTTCTCATTGAAGTGCGGCGGCCTTCTTTCGACAACTTGAAGGTCATACCCATCAATGTTCACCGTTGAAAAGATCTTGTGGGGCAGCTCGTATTTTTTGGCCATATCAGCAAGTCCCAAGTTCTCCTCAATCACCTGCGTATAATGATCGGAATTACTAGGAGTGCTAATGACTTGTTGCCATGGTATATTTGGTCCATCATAATCCAAGAGAGCATAAGCTGCACCACTTGAAAATGAAACGCCGTAATGCCCTTCTTTCGAAGTGTCGGTAAGAGGCTTGAGCTCTGTACCATTGAGGAATACACTGTAAACGTGGCGTTGGATAGGCGACTCCTTTGTTGCAACGAAATAGACCAAGTTTTTCTTGAGGTCAACAGCTGATGGTGCATCAACAACCTCCCAGTTACCAGATGTGAGCAGTACTGGAGTCGGGTTATCTAAGGGGGTGAAGTATCCAATATGATCGTAATTCTCGTGAATGACAGTGTCGATGTAGCCATCCAAGGGACGACCATTTGCTGGATCTGCTGGAACATACTTGGTCTTCTGAGATACTTCAAACCACCCTCCATCAAGCTTCTGAACATCCTCGGTTCGTACCGTTTCCCCAGTTCGAGTAGCGACATCGACAAGGACCACGCGAAGAACATCACTCTCTCGATTGGTTTCTCGGATTAGCGCTTTGCCAGTTGATCCAGCCCAGACTACCTCAGTGATGAGTAGATCATCTGGCGCAAAGGATCCTGCGATTTTGACTTCAAAGACATCACCCTTGCCGACATCATAGAATTGAAGGTCAACAGTCGGATTTGGAGCACCAGCTTTCGGATATTTGATCTCTCTGACTTCTGGATAGTTCTCCTCACCTGGAGCTGGCTGAACACCACTGGGTCGAGAAACAAAGTATTGAATTGGATATTCTGGGACTTCGGATTCGTTGGTCCGTAGGAATGCGACATATTTTCCATCTTCAGCCCACCATGTTGCACTGTTCCCTTGGAAGACTTCTTCTTCATACACCCAGTCCGGAATTCCGTAGAAAAGATTCGGCCCGCCGTCCGTCGTTATTTGAGTAACTTTTGAATCAGATAGTTTCCGGAGAAAGAGGTTGTTATCTCTTGTGAACACCACCGCATCACTCTGAGGACTCCAGCTAGCCAACTGTACCCGACCGTCCAGGTTCTCGGGGTCTAAAGCTTCCGCAGATTGAGTCTCAACATCGAAGATCCAGTATTTTGCGTAGAAAGAGTGTCTCCAGTTCGATTGGTAATCTGTCGCAACTAGTACCTTCTTCAAGTCCTTGCTGGGAAACACTCTGCTGGGGAAGAGCGACTGGTCTCCTACATTAAATCGGCCACTCTTCATCAATGTCTTTGTTCCTTGAGCGCCTGCCTCTGCACTGGGACCTCTGATATCCTCAACGACCAAGTAATCCTTTCCAGCAGCAGCTTGTTCCAGAAGCAGTCCGTCCTCTCCATTCGCGCCCTCTATCCAGCTTATACCGTGTTTTGTAGCTCGCCATGACCCGCCCATGACCTGGTCCAGAGTAACCTTCTTTCCGGTCCCCGTTGTCGCGGTCGCAGCAGGATCGTGGGGTTTCGAGGAGACATGTCGATAGGATTGTCGTCCGAGAAATACGACCAAGGCCAGCAGCCATGCCCCAATGAACACTCCTCCTACTACCCAGAGTAATCGCCTGAACTTCTTGTCCACCGTCTTTCCCGTCGCGTTCTTCAAAAAAGGCCCAGTTTCGAGATCATAATCATCCTTCTCTTCATCGTCGTGGGAGCTTGTTGCATGCTCATTGTCCGCGTAGCCTCTTGACTCGCTCCTCGGAGGGGGGAATTTGGGAGTGACCATTCTCTTCTCGTCCTCTGCATCCACCCTTTGGCCAATACGCTCAAATACCAGACTCGTCGTCGACGCAGATGATATAGAGTCTTCAGACTTGCGACCGGTCTCGAGGGGAATGAGGTCCGCCGTGTCTTCGTGCCGCCTATCCATGATCTCCGATAAGAGTTTCAAGCTCCCGTTCGAGTTGTCAGAGCGAATCAGTCCCGTAAAGACATGTGCAACCTTTCAAACTCTTTTGCTACTCATGGCACACCTGAGAAATAAATCAAGGGCGGGCTCTTCGAATAATGAAGCTATTGAGACCCAGATGTGGTATCACAGAATCACAAAAGAGAGGTGTTGGCTTTGTGCCAAAGGCTTGGCATAGATCATCCGAGCTCCAGATTATCTCAGCCGAGTAACTTCAATCTCCCATGTTTTCATTGCAAAGCATTTTTGAATTTTACGAAGATCCTTCGCGCCTGTCATGGAGCTTGAATTCTGGTACTATCCCTAGAAGTACCTGCATGATTTATTTTTTCTTTTGTTCTTGCTGGGCAAATCGTTCCTTTGTCGTTAGAAGCAGGATAATGGCTCTTGGTCCAAAACCGCCGGCGAGAGCAGCCGCAAACATGTCTTCGATATCGCGGCCGTGCAACACAGTTTACATGTTTAGTTTGTCTTGCAATTATTTAGCATGTCGATCGGAGTCCCATTTCTTGAGTTTTTTGTTTCCGAATCCTTCTCAAGGTGCAGCTCGAAGCAAGTGCAGATCACTTTGCTGCCTGCACTATCCTACCGTGAGTTCCTTGTACTTGAAAGAATGCTCCATCCCTGGAATAGCTATATCTTTTTTCAGCATGAAGAGCTGGACACAGTGGACAATTTTGCGACAGCTCAGCCTGGCAGATCCCAAGATGGGATTTTGCAGAGATGGTTGATCTGCTTTCCCTACGCCAACTTCGTCATGTTGAAGCTGCACACTCAAATACCATGGAAGTCTTAGAGACTCCCCCTGAATATCACCCAAATTCTGGTCTGATCTGCGTTCATCTTCAGAAATCGAAAATAGAGGACGAAGTACTTGGAATCATCCTTCAGCGGCTCTCCACAGTTCACGTTCTCCGCTAATGCCTCCCACGCAGCAGTGATAAAATGGGGACGAGCTTCGCTGCACAACGCAATGTCGAACATCTCATCTTCTAATTGCAGTGCAGGATGCTCTTTTAAAGGCATCAAAGACGTGGACCAGCCTAAATGTCAGCTTCCAGTACCAACAGAGCCGTTTTGTCACGGATCCTGCGAGGATTGATCTCAGCGGGATGACTGCACCCAAGGAATTCAAAATATCTGCTCTCGAAGCACTACAGGTTCGCACATCCTTCTCAACTTATTGACGCCGGTCATTGATCTTCATCTTCTAGAGATCCTCTCCAAAAGAAATAGGAACTTTCTACACAGATTCAGGAAGAGGATCGCCTGAACGGGACCGCTTAGTCGACAGCACCATCGACGTAGCTCTGTACGACTGGATGTTGGAGCTCGCGATCTGCTAATTGACGTTCCTACAGTCACGTCGAATTGTACGGGTAGTTGAAAGCGCTTACCATCCTGGTCGACCCATGGGCTTGATCTGGAGAGGTGGGATTCGTCACTTGAAATCAAGCATATGTTTGAAGAGGCTGAGATCGATTTGGATATGCCATCTGTCATTGAAGGTGCGTGAATTCTTCTCTGAGCAATGTCAACGGGTAATTAACAACTGAATAGGGAATTCCCAACTCATCTGATATTTTCGATTGAGACTTCTATTAAAATTATGGCATATGGCCAGGGACCAGGCTGGAAACAACAACAAAACTGTGGCTTTGGCGGTATCTTCCTATGGGAAGTTGTCTAACGGCACAATAGAGTTTCCACCAAAAAATACGATACTTCTAGCCTATGCTGTGTAACTTCATATCATTTTGTTCATACAGCATGAATGATAGACTGCTTAGTCTATTATTTTTGGATCGGCCTCTTAAATCCAAGACATTACCCAGGTTAGTTGGATATTGCTACAGCAGCCCCTTTTGCTTAAAACAGTATAAGTATTAAATGTATACAGGAATTAGGATAAAGCAATGGAAACAGTCAAGAATGGTAAATTTGGAAGCTTGAAAAGCATCCATTGTCTTCGGCTGGGAACTGCTGCAGGTCACGAGCCGTCACTATGTGACGTTTTTATTTTCAACTCCAGCAGTCGGACCAAGGACTATTGATGAATTCGAAGATATGATTTCCGGTTTTCTGGAAATGATAGTACAATGTGAAGACTGGATGGAATGAACGCCCTGATGAACGTTCCAGCTGCACCACCCACTTCAACACCCCCCATCGCCAAGCCTCGGCAAGGTACGCTAGTCGGCAAATTTTTTTTAATTCTGTAATATTTCGAAATAACAACTTTTCAGCATCCTCAACACATGACAAGGCCTCCTTAGCTCAGGGGTAGAGCGCATCACTTGTAATGATGAGGTCGCTAGTTCGAATCTGGTAGGAGGCATTCGCATGTATAAGAAACATGTGTTCCTTTATTTTTTGTTTTTGAAAATTTGGATCTGGATTCTCGAAGAACTTTTCTTTCGAGTCGAGACGGACAGTGTTCAACTAAATCAGTGATTTTAAATATATCATTTTAAATGTGTTGATAAATGGGTTGGGGTTGTGGAGACTGCCGGATATATCTTCTGAATTGCTCTTTGTTGGGCATTTCTTTGTCCAGGAACACTTAGTATTCCGAAGCTACAAACAAGTACATTGTCCTAGGATGTTTATGACAGAACAATTTTTTGCTAATTTTCTGAGTTCCTAATCCCGAACTCCGCTTTTCTGATCCTCGGTTCAAGGTCTGATTTGTTGACCGACCCAACACGCCGACCGCACAGCGTAGATCAGTATGTCAGGGGCTCAAGCGAGTTCTGATCGCAGCATCCTCCCATCCAATTCTACTCTCCTTTGTTTTCTTTCACTATCTGCTCCTGGCCTGTCTGCATCCCCATCAAATTCGAACATAACAGGCTCCGTGTTTGAAGGTATGGTAGTCGCATCTAATTCCGCCTTTTCGAATCTCTCTTCTGCAGTCCCAAATTTCACTGCACCTGCTCGCCGTCGCCAGCGAACCGTGAACACCACAATCCCAATCAGCAGAATGATCCCAAGAGCTGTACCAACACCTATACCCGCCTTTGCGCCCGTTGCGAGTCCACTGTCTTCTGGAGTTGTAGTGGTTGGTGTGGCTGACGGGATCGTTGAAATTGTCGATGTTGATGATTTGACCAGCGTTGAGGAAGGCGTCAGTTGAGAAGTGGCATTGTCTTGAAGGGTAAAGAGAGCTGGCGGCTTATTCGGATCATCGATGCGAACTCCAGGGAGACTGACTTGTTGGTTGGACGCTGCCACTAGAAGTAGGCAGCAGATGAATCGAAAAGAGGTGTGAAGGTGAGTGCCAGTTGGTAGACGCATCCTTGCTGCAACTTTCGTCTAGAGAACATCGTAGAAATCGCCCAAAGTCTGCGCTTGGTCTTCAAATACTTTTGGTCTATGGAGATTTCCGGTTTCAATTCCTTGAGTCATGGCTGTGTATAGGTAGAAGGGCAGCCTTGCCGCAAGACGGACGTCTTGAATGGTGAGATGGCAGCCACAGAAGCGGCGCTAAGATCAACCACTTTTCAGCTCTCCGCCATCGTGTTCCTGTGACTATTCCTCCTGCTCTTGCCAACATGTTCAATACTTCTCATTGTCTCTTTGAGATTGTCAGCATGGGGGAGAAGCTTCGAGCAGAGACGGCGTGTTACACTCGTAAGGTCGGCTCTCGGGATCTTCACACTCTCCAATGATCCTCCAGCACAGAGCTTTGGAATATTGTATTTGGGACTAGACAAAGACCTTTCAAGGGCGCGCTAGACGTCTAACTAGATCCGGTGAAGCTGGATATCGCTCTTCAGTGCTGTCTTGTCGCTTTCTGCCACTCCCTCTTTTGAGCCTTTGCCCCACCATCAGCCATGGTCTCATAGAAGAGGCATCGAGGACATTCCATCGAAAGATTTACAACACCATACACCAACGTCAGCGAATTCATAAACACTGGTGGGATTACAATTTAGTTTGCGGTATGGCGACTTCAATCCTCCAAGGAATCTATCTGCCATTGCCCAGGCTGGAGCATTCTCTCCCCAATCAAGCTCGTTTTCAGGATTGTGAATTTCCGGCGCGGAGCATCACTCTGGCAGTTTGCCGCCACTAAAACCCAGGCTTGGTCTTCCGCGCTTTAGCGACAGCCACAAGCAGCGATAGAGTCCACTGTTGAGTTAAAAAAAGAGGCAACGAATAGGACGCAGGGAGACACATGGCATCAAGGCAAAGTACCAATCCTGAAATTCGGTTCTACCAACCCAATGCATATAGTTCACAATGGCCTTCTACTATCCCCCCCCTAGCTTGAATGTTAAATGTGTAGAAAATTGGACCTCGTGTGGGTAGTCTTCTAGGGTGTTCATCCAGTGAAATCCTTAGATTATAGCCACAGTCAGGGGGAAGAGGCTCTCTGGAATCTTCTACAACCACCCGGGCCTTTACAACAGACCAGATTTTGTCCTGTGCTCTGAGGCTGGCAAGGCATCGACAAGGCCTTCCTACCAGTCACAGTAAGCTCTTCATGCCTCGGACCCATAAATTCCACATTTTAACATTCAAGCCAGGGGGGGGATAGTAAATCCACCTAACGCCAGTGTTCGCAGCCCAAGACATACCTCCACTGCATGTTTCACCCATGCCCATCAGCAGCCACAAGCCCAACACCACTATCAAGCCATGTTCAAATACCCGCCATCGATAATGAAAGAAGTACCATGAACATAGCTCCCAGCCGGACTAACCAAAAACAAAATGGAATCTGCAACCTCGTCGACATCACCGAAGCGCTTGAATGCTGTGCCATCAGTGTACAGGTTTCTCAATTCCGGGCTTGCGGAGACGGCTCGCTCAAGTAAAGGCGTGTCGATGGGTCCTGGACACACAGCGTTGATGCGGATCATCGATCCGCCATACTCGTTGGCTGTGAGGAAGGGACTTAGCACTAGGGGAGGCCTGGGGAATGGGAATGAGGAGACGAACCTGCAGTTTTCGTGATGCCGATTGCAGCAAATTTTGAGGCGTTGTATTCAACTGTACCTGGGGGTGGGGTGATCCCAGCGCCCGAACATACATTCACGATAGATCCACGACCGAGCGTACGAGATCTGCTCGTTCCCTGGACGACGATGACATCTTGTTTGAGCATTACTTGGAGCGCGGCTTTCGTGTGGTATAAAACGCCTCTTGCGTTGGTGTTTTGGATATTGTCATATGCTTCCAGGTCATTATCTGCGATGTTGCCATGCATGCTATAGATCTATCGCCGAGTTAAGTACATGCTCATGCACATTCAAGGAAGAGAAGTATCTCACCCCAGCGGTTGTAACGCTGTAGTCGATTCTTCCGAATCTGGCAACGGCGGCTTGGAAGAAGGCATCGACACTCGCCCAGCTTCGCACGTCGACGTGAGATGCTGTGACGGCAAATTTGGGGTTTGTGGCAACTTCTTCGGTTTGTTTTGCTGTTTCTTTGACGCCTGGAGCGTTGATATCTCCCAATGCTAAACCTTGAACACCGGCGCGGGCGAATGCAAGTGCTGTTGCTCTTCCCATTCCACTGGCTTCAATGTGGTCAGTGAAAATGCTTTTTACATCTCATCTTAAAAGAGGTATCTCACCAGAGCCGATGATTACTGCCGTTCCTGTTAAGTTGAAGTTTGACATCTTGAAATTGAGAAAACTTGAGAAGAATGATTGCGAAATTTATTTGATAAATGTATTGACTTGTGAAGAGGCTTGAGAATGAGTATTTTTATCTTATTTTCCACCTCTCCAGCCAACGAAGTAGAGACATTTATATGACTGAGTATTCTAAAGGGTTGGTAAGCTCTGGCTGCCCTGCGCACCCCAGGTACCCGCCATGCACGACATAAGGCTGAGCTCTTACGGCTCAAGAAATGTGGTTGGCCGTACTCCGAGGACCCATGACACTTCCTAATTCGAATTGTAAGAAATTTTGATGCATTTCCAAGCTCAGTCCAGGGATGTCAGAGTTGCTGCGAGGCTGAGAGACGACCAGTGCCACATCTCACATCAGCCAATCACTCTTGTCAGAACACCAGACCCACAATGTGCGGCGTTCCAGTCAGATGTGGTGCTATTTCTGCGAAGTCGCTCCCGATTCAGAAACTTCGTCCGTCGAGTTTGCGATCACCTGAGCAATACTCACGGATGAAGGAGGTCAGATTGACAGAAGGTAGAAGAAATCGGCCGTTTACGAGCCTCTTCTCATGTCATCAGCAGCTACCCTTGAAGAGCTGAGAGAGGATCGTGGAATCCAAAGGAAGAACTCCCAAGATAACGAGGCAGCATGCCCTTCAAGGATTCACTTGGTAGAACCGAGGTTGGCGATTTCAAGCCTGGACCGTCGCAGTCACGGATGCGAGGGCCTGATGGCTTCATGGAAACCTCGATTTCTTCTTGATAATGGGTGTCATGATCAAAAGTCGGACAATATTATAAATCAAATCCAAATGACGAACACATAACGGAAGAAGTACCAACAGGATTCGTGGGTTCCCACGGAAGCTTGGCATGTCCAAAGAAATTGACCATCGCTCCGTTGGTCTTGAAACGAACACAGGTCAAAATGTGACTGCGCTGAAGCTCCTGGTGAAGTCTATGGAGTAGATTTCAGTAAGTAATGGTGCCATTACTTAGCACTGAACCTGACCTTGAAGCACCCTGCGTAGCAACTGCACTGGGCGATGAATAATCTTGTTGGGTCTCTGGCGTCGTTTGCCATCCACGAAAGACTTGCCTGAGGTTCTAGGACTCGACCAGAAATTCGACATACCATCTTGAATACTTTGAGTCGGATAGTCGTAGAAACATAGAACGCCCAATTTCACCTGCTTGGACTCAAGATACAGTCGCGATCTGGGACAAAGGCCACATTCGACATCTACCACCGTAAGGCATTACTAGCCCATTGTTGCTCGTACAACACCAAGACTTGATACATTGCCATTATCGGTATGATATAAGACTGCCGCAGGCAGAAGACTGGCATTTGCATGTAGAACTGAAGACGCGTCGAAGTCGAGCAGCTAAAATCGAGGTGATCGCGACCTAGGAAGTGTCTGGCTTGGAATATGTGCAAAGAGAAACGATGCACGAATAAAGAGTCAGAGATCAACCCGAGTACACAAGTAAATCTATCCGAGAGTCCCCAAACTGGTACTTTTCGAAGTTTGTTGTTGAAGTTCGGGACCGGCTTGGCTTTGGAGATCGAAACGCGACACCACATCACATCCGTTCTGGAGACTACCGCAATCTCGTCAGATTAGCTGCAGTTTTCATCACAATTGACTAAATCTCGCTTCTTTCTACCCCGAGGCCGGGAAAGCTCCAGTCAACTTCGACTTTTGAC